CGGGTTTCAGCGCTCCTCATCCTCGCCTTCCCTTCTTTTCGCCAGGGAAACTGAGTCACGCCGGAGCTGCCGGGAGCCCCCCGAAGGGTGGGAGCCCCCCGACCCGCGGGGTCCTCATCCCCACCGGCCTCCACGACGCCCGCAGCGGGGTGGGGTCCCAGGCGAACGGGAGCCCACCCCCACCTGCCCCCGCCTTCCCGCGCTGCCTCTTCGGGGCGGCTGAGCGGACCCGGGCGTGCGGGTCCCCCCAGCCCCCCAAAATCACCCTCCCGTCCCTCCCCCGTCCCCCCCCGGCCCCTCTGCCACGCTCAGCCCCGCTGGGCCTCGTGGGAGAGGGAGCGGGAGAGGGTGCGGGGGATCCCCCCTTTGGCTCCGCGGAGRTCCGGGGGGGCGAACAGGGGCACGGGGAATGTGCGGGCGTAGGGCAGGAGGTGCTGGGTCAGGGGTTGGCCCAGGACCCCCACCCGTAGTAGCCCCCAGGGCGAGCGCTGCTCCAACACCCGCACGGCCCCGCGCTGCTCCAGCGTCTCCCGGCGCTGCGTGTCCACCTCCCGCCGGCACCGCCTGCGCACGGGGTGCTCGTGGGGTGGGTGGGTGCGACAGGGACCCCCCCCCGTCCCGCTGTGACCATTTGGGGTCACCCCACCCCGCCCGGAGCCCTGGAGAACCCCCCTGTCTGTCCCAGCCCACTGCAGACCCCCTTGTGCCACCCCATCCCGCAGTGAGCACAGGATGACCCCGTGGCCCTGCACCCCTGAAAAACCCCAGGTTCTAACCCATCCCATGGATTCCCACATCCTCCCGGCCCCATGTGGAATCCCAGCTTCCCCCTGCCCCACAAACACCCCCATTTCCTCACAGGAACCTCTGAGGTTTCCCCAATCCCTCTTGGACAGCCCCCCCCACCTCTCTGGAGCTTCCATGACCCCACAGAGACCCTCGGAGCCTCAAAAAAATCCCCAGGACCCCCTGGAAATCCCATAATTTGGGATACTTGGAGGCCTCTCATAACCCCAAGACCCCATGGAAACATCGAAGCCTGGAACCGACCCTTGGAGCTTCCCAAAACCCCAGTGGCACCCTTGAAGTCTCCTACAGCCCCAAAACCCCATGGAAACCCCAATTTTGGAACACTTGGAGCCCCCTCACGACCCCATGGAAACCCCGCATTTTGGGACCCTCGGAGCCCCTTAACACCCTGTAGAAATCCCACAATCCGAGCATTTGGAGCCCCCCACAGCCCCATAGAAACCCCACATTTCAGAACATTTTGAGCTCCCCACAACCCCATAGAAACCCCACATTTCAGAACCCATGGAGTTCCCCACAACCCCATGGAAACCTCATATTTTGGGACCCTCGGAGCCCCCCAGCACCCTGTGGAAACCCTACAATTTGAGACGCTTGGAGCCCCCCACAGCCCCCACAACCCCATGGAAACCCCACATTTCAGAACCTTTGGAGCCTCCCACAACCCCAATCCCCCCCAAACCCCCCGGTCCCCCTCCGGCCGTGCCCCTCACCCATCCTCGGGCCGGGTGCGGAGCTCCAGGTCCAACCACTCGGCGCTGAAGGTCTCCCTGCGCCCCACATCCTCCTCCTGCACCCGGCAGCCCAGGCGGGCCGAGAGCAGCCCCCTGGAGCCCCCCACCACTCCGGGGCCCACCATGGTGCYGCTTTCCCCCCTCCCCAGCGCCTTCCCTGCTTTTATGGCCCCGCTGGGGCTATTTTGGGACGCGCCGCTGGCACCGGGCGCTGCCAAGGGGGGCAGGCGGGGGGTGGCACCTCGGACACGTGTGTGGCACCCACGGGTGTGTCGCCTCCCTCTTTCCCGCCACGGGGACCTGCCAGCAACGTGATGGCACTGCCAGGACCCCCCTGGCACCCGCCCAGGGCACGCTTGGCCTTTCCCTGTCCCTGTCCCCCCGTCACAGAGCTGGGGGTGACACGTGCCACCTCTGTGCCACCGCAGTGCCACCCACTGCGGCCGCACTGCTGACCTCAGAGGGACATTGGGGTTGCTCCTGGTGTGTCCCCCTGGCCGGGACAGAGGGGTTGGGGCTGTAGGGACCCCACAATGGGCTGTTTGTAGGGCCAGGTGGCAGCAGCCCGGGGCTCACATGGGGCTGGTGACACAGAGGACATGGGGGGGCTCCAGTCCCCGAAAGTGACCCCCAGGTGTGGGGGTCCCACCCCAAGGGGGTGAACCCAGGGCTGGGGGGCACTGGGGGCAGCTGGTGCAGACAGGAATGCTGCCGGTGCCACCAGAGGGTGAGGGACAGTGACATCCATGGTCGGCGATACCCACAGGCAGTGACACCCACGGCCGGTGACACCCACGCCCAGTGACACAAACGGCCGGTGACACCCATGGCCAGCAGCCAAAGGAGCCTGGAGACCCCACCCTTTTGGCACTGGGGGGGGCTTCAGGGTGACCCCAACCCCACATCCGCCCGCACCCCTTGGATTCACAAAGGGCACGTGGAGCTGCAAACAGTGCAAGGCTTTAATTCAGCCCCCACAGATTTGGGGGACCGGAACCCCAGACCCGGGGGGGCGCAGAGAGCCCGGGGTGGGGGGCTCAGAGGGCCCGGGGTGGGGGGCTGTGGGTGCCCCCCTCCCCCAGCACAGCCCCCGTGTGCGGGCGGCCCCGCTGCCGCTGCCGTTGCCGTTTTTAGAGCAGCACACGGCGCTCACAGGTAGAGAAACCGCAGTCGCCCCCGCACCCCCCACCCCCAACACCCCCCCGCACCCCCAAAAAGGATCAAAGTCTCTGCTTAAGGCAAATCCTGCGCTGGCTCCGCCAGGAGCTGCAGGTTTGGGATGTGGAGGGCTCAGCCAGCGCGAAGGGGAGGTTTGGGGGGGTTCTCCCACGGTGGGGGGCACAGTCCCGGGGGGGCACGGTGGGTGGGGGGCACCAGCTGTGCTTTCACCCACTGCTGGAGGGGCAGAGCCTGGCATGGAGCTCACTTAGCTGAATGCTCACCCCGACGTGGCTGCCACCTCTGTCCCCTCTTCCTCACGGAATTGGGGTGCAGGGACAGGAATCTGGGGGTCCCAGCTGAGCCCCTAACCATGTGTGGGGAGGGGGAGSCAGCCCAGCCCCCGGCGAGGGCAGGGCAGGGGTTTGGCACGGAAACGTTGGGTCCAGAGCCCCGCTCGGGGGCAACCGGGGTGGCAGGAGGGGCTGATCCCCCCTGGCCTCATCCCAGGGCTGGCACGGGGGGGACCCCTCTCTGGTGGGGTACAGGGTCCTGTCCCCACTCCCTGCAGAGCAGAGGGGCTGTGGAATGTCCTCAGGGCTTGGAGCAGAGCTCTGCCACGCGCTGCCGCAGGTGGAAGGCGAATTCGAACATGGTCGCAGCCAGGCTCTGGTGGATCAGGTACCGGGGCAGGCGACCCTGCAGACATAGGACAGAGACACGGGGCTGTGAGGGACCGTTTGGGGCTGGGGGCTGCCCCCACCCCACCCTGGGGGGTTYCAGGGACAGGGACATGGAGCAGTGAGCCAGGGCTGGGGCTGCCCCCATCCCATTCCTGCTGTTCCAAGGACACGGGGCCATGAGCAAAGGTTGGGCTGGGGGCTTGTCCCCAAACCTGGTGGGTTTCAGGGACATGAGCAAGGATTTGGGGCTGGGGTATTGTCCTCATTCCATCCTGGTGGGTTCCAGGGACATGGAGTGAGGATTTGGGGCTGGGGGCTGCCCCCATCTTATCCCAGGGGGATCCAGGGACAAGGACATGGAGTGAGGATTTGGGGCTGGGGGATGCCCCCATCTCATCCCCTTTCAGGAGGATCCAGGGACAGGGATATGGGACCATGAGTGAGGACTGGGGCTTGGGGCTGCACCCTGCCCCATCCCATGGATCCCATCCCATCCCATCCCATGGATCCCATCCCATCCCATCCCATGGATCCCATCCCATCCCATCCCATGGATCCCATCCCATCCCATTCCATCACATCCCATCCCAGCCGGTTCCAGGGACACAGGAGCCATGAATGAGGGTTGGGGCTGGGGTCTGCCCCCATCCCACCCCATCCCACCCCATCCCACAGGGATCCAGGGCTGCGGGAGCACCGCTGTGCGGAGCTGCAGCTCCCGGGGAGCTTCGATCCGGGGGAGGAACTGCAACGTGGTTGGATTTCTCTAAAAAAGCCCTGCACGACTCACCCCCCACCGCCTCGGCCTCGGCTCCGCGGTGGGAGATCCACGAAAAAAATAATAATAATCCTTGTCTCTGGAGGGGGAGGGAGCTGAGGCAGGGCTGGGAGCCGCTCCAGGGCACCGAGGGACCACTGGCCAAGTAGCCCAGGGGTCAGGCAGGCACAGGACACTCCCTTCCCCAGGGATTGGGGTGGACCAGCACAATTTTTTTCCCTGRAGCAGATTTTCCCTCGGGTAGAGGGGCAGGAAAAGTGCGAGGCCGCTGTCCCAAGGGCCATTCCAGATCCTCCGGACCCAAACACACACACACACGTGCGGAATCCTCCCTCCCCCAAGGAGCAGGAAGGGATGAGCCACGGGCTATAAATACCCACCCAAAGGGCCAAAGGGACTGGCGAGGAGCTGCCCAGGGGTCTGGGCRCTGGCAGAGCCCCTCGGGGAGGTGCTGGGAGCACTCGGGGGGTTATTATTAGCTCGGCATTCCTTCCACAGCGGAGGCGGTGCCGGCAGCGCTCGGCCCGGGAAGCACAAGGAACCTCTTTTCTTTCCGAGCCCCCCAAAAAACGGGGGGTTTGTTTTACCCAACCGCRGCCGGTGGGTGCCAGATCCACGGAGGAAAACACATCCCTGGCGCAAYAAACGGGGCGGGAAGGGCACGTTCCCGCTCTCGGGTGCTTCCCAAACCTTTCCCGAAGCGTTTGGCAAGACAGGCAGGAGCCGCTGGGCTCTGGGGGAGGGGAGGGGGCCGTGGGAGGGGAGGGGAGGAGAGGGGAGGGTCTGGGGGAGGGGAGGGGGCCGTGGGAGGGGAGGGGAGGAGAGGGGAGGGGGCCGCAGCGCTGCAGCACAGCCGAGGGATGAATGGAGCCTTTGTGCTGCTGCGGCAGCGCCGTTACCACGTCAACCTTCCGCGGAGGAAGGAACGGGGCCAACTCCGCTCTGCTCCCGCTCCCGCATCCGCCCCATCCCGGTCCTTTTGTCCGGGACACCGGCAAGGACACGCGGCTCCACAAAYAGCGCCGGGCCCGGGTCAGCTCGTTCCTCCAGAGGTGGATGTGGGGTGGTTGTGGTTGTGGTTGTGCCGGGGGGTTTGGGAAAAGGGAATTGCTCCTTTGGGGTGTTCCCCAGAGCGGTCAGGAASAACACTTCCCGTGCCTGGCTGCACTAAAGAGGATTAAAAACTCCTCTCCCCTCAGTCCTGCACACGGAGGTGAAATCTCTGAGATCTTCCAGGTAAAGAAGAGATTCCCAAACTCCCACCAGGAAATTAGGGTATTTTTTGGGGTAGTTTAACCCCCACCAGCAAAATCTGAATCCCTTCAGGGCAGTTTTTAAGGGACCATTTCCACAGCTGCTGAGATCCCAGAGCAGGACCTCGGGATGCTGGATCCCAGAGCAGAGTTTGGGATGGGATGGACCCACCTCACCCAGGAACTGCCTTTACCTTCAGATCTGTGTTGAGAATCCAGATGAAGGTGCAGACCTTGGCATTGCTGGGACATTTCAGGACGATGAATCCTCCAGGTCCGTTCTCACCCCTGCAGAGCAAAGCCAAGAGGGTGAGACAGAGCCAGGCCTGGCTGGGATTCTCCACCACTCTGGGATGCACGGCATGGAGCTGAGCCTGGCAGTGAAAGCCAGAGCCCAGTGGGGCAGGAGCAGATGCTGGGAGCTCGGGAAGGTGTGTGCCTTGGCTCCAGGTATCGAGCCAGCACGGCAGGGCAGCCTTCCCACAGGTGCCTTGGCAGCGCCGGTGCCAGCGCCACAGCTCTGCCTCTGGATCGTGCCAGCTCTTCCCCACGGGAAGCTTTCCCAGGCACAGCTCTGGGTGCAAACAACAGGTCCCTGGAAGCTGTGTGTGCTCAGGACAGGCTCAGCATTTGTCACTCCAGCCCCCAGATCCTTCCTGGCACCATCTGATCTGTCTCCGAGACGGGAGCTGTGCACACACAGCCCAAATACAGATTTCCCTTCCCTCTTCAGAACACGCTATTTTTGCTGTGTGTTTCTTAAAGGATTTTTCCAGGCCCTGAAGTCCCCAGTTCCTAAATAGACTGAGGCAGCTCGCACAGCTCTGAGATAAAATGTCAATTACTTTAACCAGATTATTAGGAAAACCGAAGTCGGAGCGCACGGCGGCACAGCTGGGCCCCGGCAGGAACAAGGAGTCCTTGTCTGATGAGCCCGACCCTACCAGGATCCATCACCAGCTTGTCCCTTCAGAAGGGGAGAGGCCAAAGCCCTGCTGAGATTTTGGGAGCTGCTCCATCCTCRTTTCACCCACGGGGCCATCCCCCAATGCCTCAAACTCGGCGAGCGAGCAAAAGGCATGTGAGAGGCTCGGAGCCACAGCCAGCTGTTTACTGCCCCTCCGAAATTCCTATTTGGGAATTAACTGCTACATAAACAGGATGTGGGACTGGGATGGGGTTCGTGCCGTTACTGGTCGGCACCTCCACTCCCCCGAGCTGGGAAACGCCCCAGCATCGCTGACAGCACAGAGAGTTTCTTGAACAAAGGGAGACGAACAAGGGAAGCGAGGTTCAGCTCCACAAATAGCTCGGCTTCCTGCAAACCCTGCCAGGAAGGCAGCAGGGCTCACAGTTAAGTGGCTCCTTGCCTCGAAGCTCTGGAGAAGTGCGTGATCCCAGCTAAAAAAACAGCACCTGCCTCTCACCTGACGTACTTGGAGAGCGGAGGCTTCAGGCTGTGCGTGGTCGACATCCCTGAGGAAACGTACCTGTCTCTCCTCCTCTCGATCCGACGCACGTTCACGAAATCCCTGCGCAGAGAAAGGGTTTAAAAACACACCCGGGGATGTGGAGGGGGCAGATCCYGCTCTCTGGGCTGCTGGGAGAGGCCACAGCAGGGCTGTGTCAACACAGGGCCAAGCTCTGATATCCGGGAGCCCGACTGAACAACCAGCCAAGGTTTGGAGTTCTGAGAATCCTGCCAGGAATGGCTGGAGGAAATTTCAGGGGCTGGAGGAAATTTTAGGGGCTGCTCGCCCTTGGGAGCGTTACCCACAGAGCAAATCAGCCCCACCAYGGTGATACCGGAGCTCCAGGCAGCCCAGAGCATTCCCAGTGCCCTCAGAGGGGTCTCCCCGTGGTTTGGGGGATGTTTAGGGGCAGAGTGGCACAGACTGACCTTGGGGACACCACGCCACCAGCAGCTCCGGCTGCCACGTCGTATGAGACAATTGTGTTGTCCTCAATCCGCTGCAAGATCTGGGGAAGGGCAGATCAGGGGAATAAATAAAATAAAAAGAGAAATTTCTCTGATTGTCCCTCTGAGCCTGCACATGCTAAGAGGACACAGCCCCTCCCCCAAATCAGCACCGGCATCACACCAGAGTGTCTTTTGGGACAGAGGAGGATGAGCAGAGCGGGCACACATTTATCTCCCGAGTTTTTGGGGGGCACAGGTGTCACCTCCATCTCCCCACCACGAGGCCCAGACCCTCCCACCGGGCACAGGCAGCTTTGGCTCATCCCCTGCCCCTCTCCCTGCCCACCTCTGGGGCTCTTGGCCGGGCACAGGCGTGCAGCCGAGCGCACGGATGAGCGCCGGAGATTTAACGCCTCAGTGACCGGGAGCCGGCTCGGCTTGGGCACCGCCAGCAGCACGCCTTGGACGGGAAAGCTCCGGCTCTCCGCTCCAAGGAGCTCCTGTGATTAAGCCATCTTTGTCCAGCACGCTCACCTGGCAAGCTGCCACTGTTCTGTTCCACAGGATCATCTTCTCGGGCTGCAGAATCACCTCCTGGTAAACAGTTTCAGGGGAGCACTGCAGGAAAGCCTGAGGACAGAGCCAGAGCTGTAAGCCAGCCTYGCTGCTCCCCTCGGGGAAGATTATTTTTAAGGAAAACAGGGTAAAAACACAAAGGACAAGTGGGATCACTGCAGAGGGGAGGGGTGAGACCGGCCTGGCTCACGTCCTGGCTGTCACCTCTGTGTCCCAGTGCTCCCAGGGGCTTGGAGGGCACACTTGAGGTCAGTAAGGACACACAGACCTCAGGATTTGGGGGTGCTGAGCTCTGCCTGTGTATCACCCCCTCTCCCACCCTCAGCAGCTCCCTGCGCACCATCGCTTTGGGAAGTTGCATTTTTGTCTGTTTATTTATATTTTTTTTTTTACTCAGAGCCATTCCAAGCTCCAGCACACACACACCATCCATTCCCCCCGATCCCCCACGGGACCGGGGATCTTCGGAGGCGAACGGTTCACGCAGCAAAGCGGGACCATCCAGCCTCTGCTGCTGAACRCAGAGCTGCTCCTCTGGCAGCTCCTGCCAGCGAGGCAACATATGCACTGGAACAAAGAAAAGCCACGGCAGCACCGCCGCTTCATTAAAGCGTGGTTCGCAGCCAAGCCACTCCAGCTTGGGAGAGGGCACGGAGCAAGGCACTTGTGAGCGGTTCTGCCCGGTGCCAGGCAAGCAGCAGACGCACGCTCAGCCCTGGCCTTGCTGGCAATTAGTTCCAATTAGCCTCCTTGGTCAGATTAGTCCGAGATGCTGGGGTTGGAAGCGAGTCTTGCAGTCACCTGCTCCCGACTCTAGCAGAGGAGGCTGAGGCCCAGGATGTTTTACTGGGAGTTTGTCTGCTGGCCAAGGGGCTTTCCTGGAGATATTCCCTGGTGCTGTTGGTCTGTCTCAAGCCCAGGGAGTGTGTTTTGCAGCCTGACCTGTGCTGAAAGCTGAGCCGTGGCTTTTTCCCCGTGCCAAAGAGACTGAGGAACGGGCCCAAGGATATTCTTACCTTTAAAATAAAGATCTTGCCGTGGAAGGGGATTTCAAAAGTGTAAACAACATCACCGAAGTCCTGTGCGAGAGATGAGAAAGTTGTATTTTTATCAGTCAAATTTCTATTTGGGGTGAAGTTTGCTAAAACTCTGAGACTCCTGTTGCCCCCTCCAGCCCCCAAACACCCCCTGCCCCCCACACCGGGCACAGAAACCGCCCCGAGCACATTTCAGCTGGCCCTGCCTCAATTTCCATCAACAAAACAATATCCAGAGAGGCAGCAGGGATGAGACAGAAAAAGAATCCACCCCGTGCCAGGCTGCAAACCCCACGTCAAGGTCACATTCTCTTTGTAGCAGCACYGGGGTGCGAAGGGGGTTCGCTGCCAGCGCTGCTGGTGTTACCTAGGGCTGAGAAGAACCTCCCCGGAGGGGCTKGGGATGGGCAGATGAAAACCTTTCATCGTTAGCCCTGTGTTAAACTCTGATTAGTCTATTTAAATCCATCCCCCTTTGGAAAAAGAAAACAATCTGCCCAGCTAGTTTGGCATCAGACAAAGGATCACTTGACAGGGGAATTTGAAACACCAGATGAGACAGCAGTTTGCAGGATTCACACCCCCCTCCCCAGTCATGTTTTAACCTCATGAAACAAGGTTGGGTTTGGGGGGCAGACCCCTCCTCCTTCTCTCTGCTCTCCAGAGAGAGAAAAGAGCTCTGGGCACCCTTGAAAAGTCTGGATTAGGCAAAAGCTTATCCCAAATTAACACCCCAGCACATCAGGGTGCAGGTGATGGGGAAGGGGGACTCCTTTGGGGGTGGGAAAAGCAGTTTGTGCCCCCTAAATGGGCCAAAATCCCAGTTTGGGTCCCTCAACAGCCTCAAAGGCACCTCATGGAGCAAGGGCAGAGCTGGAGCTCTGGGAGCAGCATTTCCCTGCTCCTTCCCATGGCTCTGCATCCCAAAGGTGAGCCAGCCACCCCCGCCCACCCTCCGGACAGAGGGAGGAGGGCTGGGCCCTCTCCTCTCAAACTGCAAGGCAATTAAACGTCTAATTAAATAAGAGGGGATTTTACATTTAACTGAACTGGAATAGATTCCTAATTCAATCAGGTAATTGTAACGCTTGTTAATTTTTCATGGCGCAAGGAGGTTTCCAAAGCCTCGTTTGTCCCGGTTTTTGCTAAGCCATCCATGCCCTCTGCCAGCTGGGGAGGAAAAACCACACTTGCATTGTTTTTCTCGAACTTCCAGTTCTCCTCCTGGGCGAGGATTTGGTCCACAACCTCCATGGCCTCTTTGCCTTGTCGGACATACTCCTTTTCCTGGGAAAGAAGGGAGAATTTCATGAGCTGGGAGTGCAGGAAGCTCGAGGAGTGTGTGTGAGGCTGCTCCCTCCTCCCTGGGYTGGCAGAGGGAAAGGGGATCAGAAATCTCTTAATTTGGGTCACAGAGGCCTCGTTTTGGAGCTCCAAGTCAYGCTCCCAGCCCTGGCTTGGATCCACACACCAGCTGCTCCCGGCGGCTCCCGCCTTAGCGGGAGGGTTTCCAGCAGGCARAGGGATCTGGGATGTGCAGCTTCCTTCCTGGAGGAGCCAGAACTGGGGCTGAACAGCGGCAGGATCACTTGGAAAAGGGCACAAAGCCTGTGCCCAGTCCGGTTTTGGGGAGGTCAAGGGCCACCCCTCAAGCCATGGGGACAGAGGAGGTGATGCCCATCCCAGAATGTGACCAAAGGGGTGGAAGGAACAGCAGAGCCAGAACTTCCCTGTGGGATGCTGCAGGGAAGAGCACACAGCCCTGGGGAAGTGRGATGAAGTTGGGGGGCTCAGATGACCCCTCCTACAGTGGCCACGATGCCACCAGTCCCGTGGCACAGAGGGGGCTCAGCCACATGTCCCCCAGAGCTGAGGGGTCTGGACTGGGGGACAGCAGAACCTGATGGGACCACAGGATTGGGGAGACTCCCAGAGCCCCGGATCAGCTGGGAGCTGAGGGCAGGGCCAGCCCCTGTTTACCTGAGTTGTCAAGGCCTTCCTCCCCACACCTTCCTCATCCGACTCGTTGTCCGACCCTATGGGGGAGCACCAATTAACTCACAGTTAACGAACACCCCAGTGGCACCACCCCCTTCCCTTCTCTTGGGGACAGTGTTTGATCCCTGTCCCTTATCCAGCAGTGAGGATGACTCCAGCCCTGTCTCCCTGAACACCTGCTCAGTTCTCTGGAGCTCTGAGCTCATCCCGGGTGTCAGCGATACCAGGAACAGTGTCCCAGAGGGCTGAGCTCATCCCAGGTGCCAGTGACACTGGAAAAACTGCTCTGGAGA